TAATACTAATAATAATAACAATAACAGTAAAAACAATAATCATAATAATAATAAGCATAATAATAATGATTATAAAAATAGCAGCCATGATAATTAGACCGAGAGTCACATTGATGTATTTGATTTGTTTGTTTGTTTGTTTCTAAGACGGTAAGGGATTTGTTTGTAACGTTTCCAAGATCACTTGAGATGATTGCTTGTATTCAATATAAGTCATAAAAAGGGCATCTTAATCATTATTAAGATCCACGCAAGCTGTTTTCTTTCGCGTAAAAATGTGACAGGCCATTCATTTTGATTGTTCACATCTGCAGCTGTTATCTAAGGACGAGCCATGTGTGACATACGTCTGGTCGATTCTTCGATCTCCTGAACAATATAAAACTCTTGTGCTCTCGTGCCATTATCTTCTCTTCATTTCCCACATAATATGACGTTGTCAATGGTTGCAATGCCACAGGGATCATAACAATAATATAATTTTCAGAATGACGTAAATCGAGGCTAACGTTCTTTTTTAAAACCCCCAGCATCCGTTACTTGAGACACGTTCATCCCAGACTGTTGTACGACGGGAGAAGACTGTAATAAAATAGTGAATGCATATTGCTTCTGAGACGAAAAAAAGCAGGATTAACTTTCTACGATACATTCTTCTTAACTCACTTTCACCCTTTTTTGATATAATAGTACCAATTGTATCCTCTTTATTTTCAGATAAATACCTCTTGCATCTATTCAGGTCAATCAATAGCTTGTTATGCCCGTTGTATACTTAAAAACACGGTTTAAATTAAAGATTTTAACCTCAAACTTTGTGAACTGAAGAAAAGCAACCAGAAAACAAAACAAAAAACAATTAAGAAAAGCAATTACCTAAAGCTTGTCGTTTCTTCACAGGTTACTTTGATTCCACTGTTGAAATTCTTGTTCTTGAGTAAACGTGTTAGGCCTAGTCCGTCAATTCTAGGCTTGGGTCGTCTTCTTAAGACCACCATCCGTCAGCTTGGCATGCCCGGAGTTGGTCTTACTCACACAACAATTTCCGCTGTACAAAGTCAAACGCTGGAACTCGTGCCATTCCAGGCCAAGGACCAGAATACAAATATTGATCTCTCTCGCCGTGACTTCTGTCTCCATTTATTTGCTCCGATTTTTCGTTATATTTTTTTTAATTTTCTGTACCCATTCTTTAGTTTTAAACTACCGTTACGGTTGTTCTCTTCTTCTGTGTGCACAAAATGTTGACCAAGTTCAGTTGTTGATGTCTATAGTTGCCAACACGCTCAGAACAATAACTGAAACAGTTCATCAGGGACAACTATTGAGTAAATCTGGAACATTGACAAGAAGTAGAATGAAAGAAAGAGAATGACACCACAGAGCCCGCTAAACGAGGATTAAATTAA